GTTCTAATTTTGTACAACTTGATGGTTGTCCCTGCAGTCCTGTCAGTGAAATCCAAAGCTTTCACTGCTGATTTTTTGTTCTGGTGGTGTTAGTTATGGCTTGAGTTGGAAGGAGCTTCAAAGCTCAGCCTGTCCCACCCCCTGCCACGGGCAGGAGCACCTTTCTCTGTGCCAGCTTGCTCCAACCCTTGTCCAGCCTGGCCTTGGACTTCCCTCAAATGGAGAAAGTCTGGAATAGAAAAGTGCCTTAATTTTCTTTTAATTGCATCATGAGTGTGACACTTCTGAACTTGTGTTCACAGAAATAATCTGAGAGGGAGCAATGTCCAGGTGCTGAGAGATAATCTGCAGTTGTGCCTGGGCTGGGGGAGCAGAAGTTGTGAGCCAGAGCTGAGTTGGTGCAGGTGCCCTGTGGTGACACCCAGGGTGGTTTCTCACACACCCTGACCAAGATCCAGCTTGTGCTGACCTGCAGGCCCCACATCTGCACCTCCCTTCCCTTTCCAGCCTTGGAGATTGAATGATGTTGAATTGTGTTTCTGTTCTTTTGACTCAGAACTGTCCACAGAGCAGTGCAGGTGCTAGAAAATCAGTCAAGACATTTTAACCATAAAATTCTGGCCCTTTGAGACAGTCTTTTGGTCTTTGGTTCTTTTCTTCCTCTCTTTTCTTTTCCCCCCTTGGAGGCTGCTCCCAGTTTGTGGTGTCCCCACAACACCTCTGTGTTTCAGTTGTGTTGCTTGCACAGAGCATTCCAGAAGAATCTGAGCTCTCTTGGAGCCATCACTTGTGCCAGGGTCCCAGAGAGCTGAGTCAGGAACCAAGGGGTGCCTGGCAAAGCCGTGGTTGGATAATTTGTGTACAATATCCAAAGTACATCTGTTGCTGCTGTTGCTGAAAGATTTTCCATTCCTGGTTTAATAAAAAAAAACCATTTTTTTTTAATACAAATGTGTTTTGTGAGTTTGGGTTGAAAGTTCAGGTTTACTCAGAGCTGACATTTCCCTGTTTTACTTTTCAGAAATGCAAGAAGATTGCTCAGAGCACTGATGATGTGATAGTGAACAAGCCTCACGTTTCTGATGAGGAGGAGGAGGAACGTCCTTTCTATAACCATCCTTTCAAGCTGAGTGAACCCAAACCTATCTTCTTCAATTTAAGTGTGAGTGCAACTTATATTTTTAGTATTATAAGTAAAAATATGTAGCACTTATATTTTTATAAGTGCTAGTTATATTTTTTAATATTTTGCTTACATTTACTTTTAAAACAAATCCTTGTTCTTTTTAAGTAATGCATGTAATTCTGCAGAAATTTATCAAGGGTTGATCATCTTGGTGAAACTAGGAGTATTTTTTAATCAGTTGAAAGGAACACTCCCAATTCCATCAAGATTAAATTGATAATCCAGTTTTACCAGTTGGTAAAATTGTGAGCAATTCTTTAAATGCATCTGGAAATCAAATGCTTTGAAGCATGGATTAGAATTTGTTCAGATTTCTTTTTGTGTTTGCGGTGGAGGGTGGGGTTTTTTTAAGTTTTATTTGGGGTGGGTGGTTGTGCCCATGAAAGTCTGTTGTGATTTTGCAGGATATAAAGCACTAAAAAAGCTTTAATATGCTCAGCACAAACAGAAATAACATTCCTGGTTTTGTGTATAAGTAGCTATAGCTTGTGCTGTATACAAAATAAGCAGTAATGCACATTTAGATAAGGTGTAAGGTGAAAATGGATTTAGAGTTTATATTATATTGTTAGAAAAGGCTGCAGGGAAACTCAAACTTTGGAATTCTTCCAGGCTCTGAGGAGGAAGGAGTGCTCTGCAGTGGCTGTGGGCTGCTCTCCCTCTTGGTCTTGCTTTTGACCCTTTCAGTTTTGTTCTTTGTCTCTCCTGAAACCATTGCCATCCATATTCCCAGGAGTTTATCCAGTCTGACCCAGTGCTGCCAGCTGTGTTTGCCTCTTGGAAGGGAACCTGGCAGGGATTTCTGCAGATTGTAATGAATTAACAGCACCAAGCAGAACAAGGCCACAGACATCATCTGCTCAGAGACTGCTGCTAAAAATGGGCCAGGATGGAAACCCAAATGCTGAGAGCTGTTTTCTCTCCACTCATGGGCAGCTTTGGTCACAGGCAGTGTTTTGCTGCCCAGGATTTTCACCCTGGAGCTTTCCATACAAAATACCCGTTGTTGATGTGAATGGGGTCAGCTGGAAGAGGAAGGTTGGGGATTTTGGGTTGCTGAAGTTGTTTTTAGGGATTTTTATCTTCTCCGACAGCACAATTTGTGGGTCACTTGTGTGTTTTTTAGGGCTGTGCCAAAATGATGAATTATAAAAGCTTATTAGTAAAAACCAAATCCCAGGTGTTTGCAACAAAACCACCTCATGACTCGTGGGTATTTCCAAACCTGAACTCTTTATCATTTTACTTCTTTCAGACTCCCAGCATAAAACCAGCACCACCACCCCAACCAAAAAACCAGGTCAGCCTGTCCAAGGAGTTCCCTGTGTCCTCTGGGTCTCAGCATAGGAAGAAGGAGGCAGACAGTGTGTATGGAGAGTGGGTGCCCGTGGACAAGAACGGCAAGGACGACGGCAAGGACGACGTTTTCCCCAAGCCAGCCATTGAGGTAAGGAGGGCAAGGAGAGCTTATCATGTAAAAAAACCAAACCCATCACCTGGGCACTCTGGTACCCAGCTGCAGTCTGGGAAAACAAAAAAAGGCACTTAAAAAGGTGGTGCCTAACACTGCAGTGAGCTGAGCAGCTGAGCTCTGCACTGGGGATGCTCACATGAAGCAGCTGCACCCATCCTGCTGCTGCTGCTGGTGGCTTCTTGGTCTCAACAGAATTTAAACTGGAGCTGGAAGGCGAAAAAACTTCCTCGTTCAGTTTCCCACAGAGGTTAATTAGTAATACCTTGAGATTTGCACAGTATGTAGTGCTAATTAAAGTTGTCCCACCAGTCTTAGGACAAGAACATCACACTGGAATGTAATCAGTTAAAAATTGAAAGTCACTTCCTCTGGATGTATTCGTTTTTTAGCTTTCCAGTTATGTTTTTTCCAATGGCTGTCTTGCACGTGGCCTTCCAAAGGAGAATCTGATTGTATGGATAATAAACTAAAAACACCAAAGCAAGTGTTTTGCCCCTTGAAATTTCTTCTAAAGAACATTTCTGGGGGCTGTTGTAATTAAGTAAATTAAATATTTAAGAGAGGTTACTATTTTTAAGTTTGTGTTGCCTCAGTGCACCTGCAGCCTTGTTCTCACACCTTCCAAAGCCAAACCCCAATTTCTGACAAAGCCATCTCAGCACTTGGTGCATTTTGTTTCTCAAGACCTTTCTGATGCTGGTCAGTTCACTCCCTAAGGCACAGAAGGAATTTCCTTGTGGCTCTTCTACAGCACCAAAAGCACAGGGGATATAACTTAGCCAGCATTTCCTTGGAATCCCTCAGGATTTGATGGTTGGGCACCCAAATCCTCAGCACAGGTGGGAGCTGCACTTGGGGCTCTCCTGCTCCAGTAAACCCTGAGATGTTTGTGCAGAATGTCATTCCCACTTTCATTGCAGTAAATATATTTAACATCACTTTCCTTTCCTTTCTGTTGTGTGTACCTTTATAAATGCCTGTAACTATGTTGTCTGGTTTTACATTTTGTAAATAAATACTTTGATTTGCCTTTACCTTAACTTGGTTTGTGTTAAGGGTGATTTCAGGGGTGTTAGCTGCAGCAGGCTGTTCCATGCATGCCCTGGGCTTTGGGGAGTGCTGGGTGTTTCTCCAGGGAGCCTGCCAGGTGACACAGTGCTTTTCTGCTGAATTCTGCCGTGTTCAGGAGGACTCTGAGCTGGGAATGGCTCCCTTGGAGCAGCATGGGGCAGATCAGCTCTATGGCTGGGGGAGTGGAGAGCTGGGGGTGCTTGGAACTTAGGAAATTTCCCCTAGAATTGACCTCCATTTGTTGTTGCTGATTTTGCAATACTGTGGCAGTTGTGGTGCAAGTCCTGGCATGAACCCCCACACAATTGGTTTTGTTGTTGTGTTTTAACTCACCTATTAGCTATGGGCTAGGTCTGAAATGACCCTGCTGGTACATTACAGCTTGTTCTAACAAAACCTGATGCCCTAAAGGAGTTGTGTGTGGCAGCAGGAGATGGAGGGGAAGGTCTGGGGTGGTCTGGGGGCTCATCATGGCTGTGGCAGGCAGAGACCCCTGAGGAAGGAGTGTTGGGAGTGTAGAGTCCCAGTCCCAGAGTGCTGGGATCTGAGGCTGCAGTAAAAGCATTTATGGACTCCAGAGTGTGTAAAACACCTGCTTTTTTATTTGCTTCAGTATTTGTGATTTGTGGGGCAGGTGTGAGAAAGGGGATCAGGCAGGAGAGCTCTGGGAGAGAGCAGCACCTCACTTGGCTCAGGAGTAACAGCAGCCCCTTACACCTCGAGCAGAGATGGTTTTCCCAAGATCCAGAGCTGCCATCGAGTGCCTTGGCATAACCCAGAGAACGGGCTCCAGAATGGGAGAGCATTTGGGAATGAGCCCAGCAGGGAGTGTTGCCAGGCCCAGTAAAGCACTCCCACACCTCTGTGGCATGGCAGTGCCCCCATGGCTTTCATGGGCTGCTTCCATGCCTTTGTGTGTTGCTGCATTGAAACTTGGTGAGTAGAAGAGCTTTGATTTATCTCCTGCACCAGGTTCCTAAACAGAGCATTGAATCAATATTTTAACTGTGTGAGAGAAACTTGAGAACTCAGCCAGTGTGCATTTGAAACAGACTTTTTTACATCCTTGCTGTTGTGTGAGGGGTTGTTATATAATATATTAATTCTTTTTGTGCCTTTTTTTTATGTTCTGTGTGACAAAATATAATCACTGAACTCAGTCCATAGACACCTGTGACTCGTGGGATTTTAGTTGTGTTTTGGTCAGTGCCAGATATTCCAGCAATGATCTTCCCAATAGAAACACTTTTGTCCTAAACACCAGCAAAAAAATCAGATTTAACAGAGCACAAAAGCAATTCCTGTGTTTGGTGCCATTGTAGGTGTTCATCTCTGTCTCTTCCTTTCAGTATTCACTGAATCCTTGACCAGGTTCCTGGGACAGGGTTTATGGTTTAACAGTGTTTGTTTTGTTCAGCTGAGTCAGTTTTAAAGGAGTTTCAGTTTCTCTTCCTGGCCCTTTAGTACAAAATGTGTTAGAGGTAGGGGTTGTGGCAGCAAAAGAGGCCAGGCTTTTACAAAGCAAATGAAAATGAAGTTTAGGGTAACCCATCACCTTGATGTGTGTGTGTGAGCTGCATTTCTGATTATTGGGTTTTTCTGTGCCTCAAACAGTCCCAGCCCTTCCAGCTTCTGTCACATCTCAGGATTTGTCTTTGCACCCTCTTCCCTTCCTGCTTTCCACACAGAATGATCCATAATGCACATCCTTTGAGGAGCAGGCCCAGGGATTTTATAAAACAGCTGCCAGCAGCCAGAGTTCATCACAGCCCCAAATGTTGTGGTTTCTCTCCCATGGCTTTGCCCACAGTGAAGGTTTGCAGAGAGCTCCTTTGTGTATTTCACATTTCCACCAAGTCATTCTGCAGCATAATTTCAAATTTATTTTTTCTTTATATTTTACTGCAGCTCAGCAGCACAGATGTAGATAATTCTTTCCAAAGCAGTGGATTCTGTGAGCTCACAGCCTGGTTTTACAGGATCCCTGGGGCTGGCACAGCCCTGCCAGCCCATGCANCAAGCGCCTCACAGACCTGGGTAAGTGCTTGGTTTCACTGGCTCGGTGCTGGGGTGCTGGGGCTGGGTTTGCACATCCATTCCTGAGGGATTTCTTAGAAGTCACTCTGTGCAGTAATCTCAGGCAGTGACTTCCAGCAGGAAGGTTTATCAATGCTGAGCATTTGAATGGAAGCCTCTTAAGAGCCAGTTTTACCTTGGTTTTAGGGCTTTTGTACAAAAGTAGCGTGTTTCAGCCTCGAGGAGCATTCTGAATAATAGTAAAGGCCACGTACTTCAAGTACTTGTATGTAAGAAAATTTAGAATTTCTACTCCTGAGAACAAAGGTCATTCAGGTGCCAGTTGTAGAGTCCCGAGCTATTCCCAGAACTCTGTCTTGCTTCTTTCCCATGGTAAGAACATAAAGGAAAGAGAGACTTGTTTGTGAAAATACTCCCAGACCCAGCAGGTCATAAAATAAAATAAAATAAAATAAAATAAAATAAAATAAAATAAAATAAAATAAAATAAAATAAAATAAAATAAAATAAAATAAAATAAAATAAAATAATGAGAGCCCTATCTTTTCTCTGAGCTTGGAGAAGAAGAGACTGTGTTGTTTCTATGAGTTAATAAGGGGAAAGAAGGTTTGAAGTGGGAGATCAGCTCTTGTACAGAGTGTGAGGAAACCTCCTGTGGTGGACTTGAGGTTCTGAACCTTCCAGTCCTGCCTCAGAGTTGCCATGGAAGCCTTCCAGTTAGGGAGTTCTTTACAAACTGGCAGGAGGCTTAATTTAATTTTGTTTGCTATTTCTATGCTAGGGCTGTCCTTTTTCTCCTTATTAAAGCAAAATACTGTTCTGCTAACAGTTTTGCATGTCATGGTATTTTAAGCAAGAGCATGTTTTACTTCCTCAGAGCTTGTTTTTCTGTTTGGTGAGTGTAAATGGCTTTTGGGCTACATCTGGGGAGATGAGGCTTCCTCCAGAGGTTTGAGAGCTTTTCAGAGGTAGATAATGAGGAAACTCTGGAGTTTATGCTGTGTGGGAAGGACTCAGTAATGCCAGGACAGGAATAAATCAGTGAAGTCAGAGGCATCAGAACAGGGTGGTTGGGGGATATTGAAGCTGGGACTGCTGGGTTCCATTGCAGTTTCACTTGCCTTCTGCACAGCCCAGGCTTAAAGTCTGGAGCAGCTCAGTACAATCCCAGTTATTTTCACAGAACATTAAAAATACACAGTGCAGGTAGAACCTTGTTTAATTTACCAGAGACATTTCTTTATATTATTAAAACAAGAATCTATAAAAATAATGACTTCTCTGTGAAAATAAAACCAATGCTTTTAGACAAGGCGCAGCTGCTGGAGATCGCCAAGGCCAACGCGGCCGCCATGTGTGCGAAGTCGGGCGTGCCCCTGCCCCCCAGCCTGATGCCTCTGCTGTCCCAGAAGAAGGATGACAAAGCCAACCAGAAGTCCTCGAGGGACACCCTGAAGGAGCTCACTGAGGTGAGGGGGAGCAGCAGCATCCAGGCTGGCACTGAGCACACCGGGCTCGGTGACCTGTGGGAGTTGTCGCTGTGTGCTGCTGGCACTGGGAGCTGCCTCAAATCCCTGGGGTGGCACAGCCCTGCCAGCCCGTGCAGTGCCAGCTGTGCCCAGCCCAGAGCACTCAGTGCCACCTCCAGACCTCCCTGGGCAGCCCCTGCCAAAGCCTGATCACTCCTTTGAGCCTTTACTCTCCCCACAAGTTTTCTTAAGACATGAATGTGAGATCTCAGCAGCTCAGGACTGAGGTGCCGAGTCATCGAGAGCACCCTTGGGGGGCTCAAAAGTCCTAAAATGTTGCCAGAAGTGTCTGGTAGACTTTGATCCTACACAAGAGATGACATTTGTATGAAGATA